GAAGGAAGGAGGGAAGGAAGGAAGGAAGGAGAAGAAAGAGAAGGGAAGGAGGGAGGGAGGGAAGGAAGAAGAGAAGGGAAGGAAGGAAGGAAGGAAGGAGAAGAAAGAGAAGGGAAGGAAGGAGGAAAGGAAGAAGGGAAGGAAGGAAGGAGAAGAAAGAAGGGAAGGAAGGAGAGAAGGGAAGGAAGGAAGGAAGGAAGAAGAGGAAGGAGGGAAGAGAAGGGAGGAAGAAAGGAGGGAGGGAGGGAGGCAGCAGGCTCGCAAGTTTTGGCCCCGAGTGGCGGAGAAACGGCCGAGAAAAGGGGAAAAAAAGAAAGAAAAAAAATAATAAAACAACCCAACTCAGCGGCTGGGCTCCTGCAGCAGAGAAGCCTGGGCAGACGGACCCAGCAGAGAGCGAGGGGCGGAGTTAAGAGGCGCTGAGCCCGGCGCTCTTTGCAAGCGTTCCCGTTTACCCTCCGGCGACAGGTTGCGGCTGGGGGGGTGGGGGTGGGGGTCAAGGGGAAAGCGGGTCCCAGTCCCGGTTTTCCCGGAGAGGCCTCGTTCCAGCTCCGGAGGCGGACCGGCGGAGGTCTCTCTCGCTCTCTGTCCTCGCAGTGGCCGGGAGGGAAATGACCGTCCTCCCCCCCCACCCACCGCAGACACCCCCCCCCCCAAAAAAAGCCCTCCGCGAGAGATTTGGGTGTCTCCTGCTGGAAAGGGGGGCAGCGCGGAGAGCCCTAGGAAAGAAAGGGGTGGTTTCATTCCTTCCTTCCTTCCTTCCTTCCTTCTCTTTCTTCTCCTTCCTTCCTTCCTCCTTTCCTTCACCATTCTCCTTTCCTTCCTTTCTTCCCTTCCTTCTCCTTCCTTCCTTCCTCCTTTCCTTCCCCACTCTCCTTTCCTTCCTTCCTTCTCTTTCTTCTCCTTCCTTCCTTCCTCCTTTCCTTCCCCATTCTCCTTTCTCCTTTCCTTCCTTCCTTCCTTCTTTCCTTCCCCATTCTCCTTCCCTTCCTTCCTTCCCTTCCTTCTCCTTCCTCCTTTCCTTCCCCACTCTCCTTTCCTTCCTTCCTTCTCCTTTCTTCCTTCTTTCCTTCCTTCCTCCCTTCCCTTCTCTCTTCTCCTTCCTTCCTTCCTCTCCTTTCTGCTATCTCCTTCCTTCATTTTCTTCCTTCCTTCCTCCCTTCCTCTCCTTTCCGCTATCTCCTTCCTTCCTCCTTCCTTCCCTTCTCTTTATTCTCCTTCCTTCTTTTCTTCCTTCCTTCCTTCCCTTCTTCCTTCCTTCCTTTTTTTTGGGGGGGGGAGAGGTGGAATCACGCGCGGGCGCTCGGCGTACGCTCGCGGGCTTTGCAAGGTTGGCTCCGCTCCTTCAGGGCTTGCCTTCACTTTTCCACCAGGCGAATTGGCGAGGGGGGGCGGGGGCCAAAGAGACCCCCGGGTGTGTGTGTGTGTGTGTGTGTGAAGGTGGTGGTTGCAATGCAAGAGAGCCGAACTCCTGAGTGTTGGGGGG